CCACCCAACATCATCATCGTCCTTACCGTCGTCGCCCGCTGTTTGACTTGTTCGTTTGCCTGTCTGTTCGGCGGGATTCCTGTGTCCAACTGTCATCCTCTTCGTCCTTCGTCCTTCTCCTCCTCCAGTTCCTTCTCCTTTCTCCTGCTCCTGCCCCCAGCTCCTTATCCTTTTTGCAGTCGGGCTGTGCGAGCTTGTTAAGTTCATTAAGGTTGAAGAATAACAACAGTAACTACATTTTAAAGGAGTTGTCAGTTGTCAGGAGCGTGGCCTGTGCCCTTCCAGTACAGTAAGGCTAGACTATGTGGGAAAACGGAAATTAATTGGAGCTTTGTGTAGTTAACAAAAAGAGTTTATTTTTTTTTTTTTTTTTTTTAAAAATGTGTAGTTGAAATGATTCTATATTTTAGGTTGTTTCAATTTCTAAAAAACAGGAAACACTTTGACTCCTTTATATTGAAAATATATTCAAGAGCTGTTTTGGCCATCTGATGCCAGTCCGTTCGAAAAACCTATATTTTCTATGGTAGAACATGTCGCTTTTAAAGTTAATTGGTTTGTATTTTTTAATATAACATGTCCATACATTCTAGGACATTTTAATTGAATAGGCAGGCCTCTATTATCCATAGGGGTTTTCACTGTGGCCACGTTCCTTCCGTGACGCTCAGGTGTGCTGGTGTCCTGGTGTCGTGGCGTCCTGACTGCCACCCGCCCCCGCTGTGTGCTCGCCCTGACTTCACTCATGTTGTTAACTGCTCTTATTACAACTTATTCTACTTATTCTACTTATGCGCTCCTTGTTTGTCAACAACAAGTACGAAAAAATAAGGAAAACAAGGACATGCCAAAGGGGCGGGCCACCTCTCGTGCGAGGTTAAAGTTGCATTTACATCGCATCGGAACTCTTTATTTTTAACTTTTGGCCACAGAACATGTCTATATATACACAAATATTCCCCTTAGTTTTCTTTTTTTTTTTTTTTTTTTTGGGATGATGGGGCTAATCCCAGTCTGCCTCTGCTTCTGCTCCCTTTCTGTTTGTCTGCCGCGGGGCCATCCAGCATCCAAAACATCTTCGCAGAGGGAAAAACACGGGCCGGCGATTCCTCGACATGTGTGGGCGCAAAACGAAAAAAAAACGAGATGAAAATAATCAAGTTTCCGACAAACATCAACATGACGCCAAGATAAAAAGCTTCCAGGATGCGCTGGCATCGCTCAGCCACTGCAGGACAAGATAAGACACATCATCAGGAGCAGCAGCTGGGGCAGAGGGAGTGCACTGAGACAAAATTAATATTTACAAGGTGCTTAAAAAAGGTATATTTTATTTTTTAAATCAGATCACAGAAATATAACAAATATAACAAAAATAACAAATATAATAAATATAACAAATATAACAAATATAACAAATATAACAAATATAACAAATATAACAAATATAACAAATATAACAAATATAACAAATATAACAAATATAACAAATATAACAAATATAACAAATATAACAAATATAACAAATGTAACAAATATAACAAATATAACAAATATAACAAATATAACAAATATAACAAATATAACAAATATAACAAATATAACAAATATAACAAATATAACAAATATAACAAATATAACAAATATAACAAATATAACAAATATAACAAATATAACAAATATAACAAATATAACAAATATAACAAATATAACAAATGTAACAAATATAACAAATATAACAAATATAACAAATATAACAAATATAACAAATTAAACAAATAAAAGAAATATAACAAATATAACAAATATAACAAATATAACAAATATAACAAATATAACAAATATAACAAATATAACAAATATAACAAATATAACAAATATAACAAATATAACAAATATAACAAATATAACAAATATAACAAATATAACAAATATAATACAAACACTTTTTGTTTCGCGTGCCGCTGCAGGACCACAAGTTGGTCCATTTCCAGGACTTGGCTTGAAATTGGCTGATGCCGCCGCTGTTGCAGTCCAGAATGAGGCTCCCTGTGGGTGAGTGGGTGCTTTTCCGGATGCGGGCTCAAGTGTCAGCCTTTTGCCATCTTCTTCGGGCCTTGTGGCAGCCTCAAGTTGTATTCGTGTTTGCTTTGAAAAGTATATTGGATTGCCCGGCCACAAATATTCCTACTGCGCACATATATACGTACGTCTGTGCTCATCTATGGCTATAGCTATGTGTATATGGATATGTTTCTGATATATCAGCGGTCTAACCAAAGGCCGTCTGCTGCTGACGTTGAAATTTTTCCACTCTTCGTTTGTTTTGCTTTCTTTTTTTTTTAACATTTTTGCGGGCTGCCATTTGGCTTTGTTTTTAATTTCTCTAGATCGAAATGGGGCTGATTTTGGGCGTGTTCTCGACTCTACAAATATTTCCTTTGCTGTTTTTCTTTTTTTTTGGTTAGTTTGCAAACAAAGGCACTTTAAATGTTAAACAAAATTATAACTATGGATTCATATTGGTGGGAGTTGGAGGAAAAAGGGTTAGTTCGATGCCAGTGGCTAGTGGAGTGTGTGGCACATTGAGGCGCTGTTTGAATTTCTGCTGAAGTTAACATTTTTATAATTCCATTAAGCGGCAGGGTCCTGCCTCTGTCTCTACTCTCCCCACCCCCCCATCACCTTCTCGTGTGTAACATGAGGATTTTCCCCCCATGACACACACACACACGCCCACTCACACAATTCACAAAGTTGGTCCGAAAAGTTTTTCGCATTCATAAATCATTTCCCTCTTTTTTCCAGCCTTCCACCTTCATGCCACGTTTTAAAGGTGGAAAATACTTTTCGCTGAATTCGTACAATTTCTCCAGAGGGGAGTGAGGGGCGGTGCGCGTTCATGTTTCATATGCCCACAAGGGGCTGGGGCAGGATAAAGGGTTGGATGCTTTAAGGACAACGTTAGGTTGCAACTTGTTGCCTGCTTGGGTTACATGATGCCGCCCACTTGTCCTGGCATATCCTTGTCATTTTTAATTTATGCGCAGACCAAGCTTGAACTTTTGCAAAACTTAAGAAAATGTGGGTTGTGTTGGGGTGGAAAAGGTAGCCCCAAAAATGGGCGCTCTTATCAGTGGAGCGAGAGATGTCCCTTGTCCCTTGCCCATGGCCGGTAATTTAATTGCTTCGCTGATCAGGACATCTTGCAAATATTACATAAATATTTAAATAAATACAATTGTAAGAATGGTCATATTCTTTGGGAAAACGTTGAAGAAAAATCTTTATTAATATTTTTTAATCCTTGTTGCTCTGGCTCTGAAAAGGACTCTGGATCGTGAAAATTCCTATAAGATTTTCTCGATTTTCCACTTTCTCTCTCTATCTTAGCTTTTCCTACGCTTTCTCCTCGATTGGCCCAATCTGATGATGTCTTGTTAGGCAGATGAAAGAGCTGCAAAGTTCTTATTCAGATGCAGGATTTTTGCTCAATGGGTGGGTTTTCTTAAATGGCATTTTCCAACCAAAATCCCATATCGCTTTGTTTATGAAAGTTGCCCACTAATTGCAAAAACAAAAGGTTGCAAGCAGCGCCAAGTGGAGATAAGCGTGGGGGAAATGCATGTGTGTAAGTTTCACGGATCTACTAGGCACTGAAAAAAATAATTTGAAAAGGCTTGGAATTAGAAAGAATTATTTACAATTTTATAGTATTTAAAAGTGCATAAAAAGTTTATTTTATTCTTATATTTTGAGGATTTTATTGCTGTACTATCATTATTATTATTACTATAATTTCCAATATAAAAGTCATTTCCGAACCTTTAAATAAAATATATAATTTGGGTCAGCATCAACAGCCGAGTCAATCTAGGAACTAATTTACGAGTTTATTTATTTATTTAAATTATAAAAATTGTAAACAAAAAAAAAATAATAATAGATTAATTTTGCACATCATTTAGCAGATTTTTTGACCTTATAAAAACTAGCACAGAAAAATATTAAAAATAAATGTTTTTGGGCGCAATAATCAGTCATTACCATTATTTGTTTTGTTAACCAAAATACTGAACTACAAGTTATAATTTATAATTTCTCTCAGTGTACGCTGTGTGCATTCATGCATGCAGCTACTGCGGCGCTTCGGACATATCGCATCGCTTTCGCCCGGGACCCAGTACCGCATTTGCATTTATATGCACATCCTTTGTGCCCAAAGGATATTACATTTTTCCACTTCAAGCATTTTTGTGAATTTAATGAAATTTTTAATTTTTATGCGCGCCAGATGGGTTTCAAAGGGAGGTGGGCGTGGTGAGAGGGTAGCAACGGTAGTGGCCTTTCGCTTGGACTAACAAGCCGCAGAGATATGCTGGCATTTGCCTTGCCTTCCCACTGGACTTTCCTCAAAGATAAATAAAAACTGTGGCGGGATGCCAAAATATCCTTTGCCCCCGCCAAGTCTTTGGCTTTGCCCAGCTCAACTGCACTTGTGGCAACAGAAATTTTGGATTATCCTTTGCTTTGCACTTGTTGTGCAGGATTTTACATTGGCTCAGCCTGTAATGATAATATTTCTTTCGTTTCTCTACGATTTATTTACTGAGCTAAACTTGGATGATGTAGAGCTCTCTTTGAATTGTAGCCTAATGGATCGTTCTCGAATCCTTCGTACTTTTCATGTGCTGCTCTTGTACTCTTTCCCAATGGAAACCTATTTTAAACTAATACATTTAAAAGCAGTACTATGTATGACTCCCTTTACAAGTTACCCTCAAGACCCTGCCAGGACTTTACCAGTACGACATTAGCTAATTAGATGCTTTATTAAGATACAATTGGATCGGGGCAAACATGGCTAAATTTCCACTAATTAGAATTTGATTAAATCGCAAAAATTAGGTTTGCCATTAGGGTAATTGGTCAACTCCTTCGGCGACGATGACCAACTGTGACTGGTGCAGTGTACTTGCAACGACTGTGGGCGAATGATGATGTTGCAGCAGCTGGCTTTCCTGCTGGCCCTCAGTGCCTTGGCACTGGGCGCACTGCATCCGCCAGAGACCGGGCACATGACTCCCTTGGTGGCCGCTGCCCTCGATATTTTGGACGAGCAGGTGAGCCCCTCGCAGAGCACGCTGGCAATAATAGAGCTGATCGGCAAGGGTGAGCATCGAGATCATGAGCAGGAGGAGCTGATGACCACCATAATCGCGGAGGTCGGTGACTCGATGGCGCTGCGTACGTTCCAGGCTCCGCCCCAGGATGTTCCGGCCAACTATGTGCTGTTCCTGGTGAACTCCGCCGAGGCCTTCAGCACCCTGAGCTTTGACTTCACGGAGATGCACTCTACGCGGGAGTACAACTTTCTGATCCTGCTGACGCGTCGCATGTCCTCGCGAGCGGAGAGACTGCAGGTAAGTAAGTGCTCCGCCCTAGAAACAGAGGACTTCTGCATACTATGTATCCATGGCAGGCGCTAAGGAATATATCTAGGACCTGCGTGAGTTTCCACACCCTCAACGTGATCCTGCTCACCCAGAAGAACAGCGGAGTGGTGCTCACCTATGGCTATCGTATATACAACCAAAACTGCGACCTGAACCTCTCCTTGGAGCTGATTGATCGCTACGAGAACGGCTCCTTCCAGCAGGGGCACCAGGATCGCACCTTCGACCGGGTGCTGAACAGCCTGGCCGGATGTCCGGTTCGAGTCAGCTGGTATCCGTTGCCGCCGTTCACGATCTTCAAGGGAAACGAAAGCGATCCGGAAGAGCGGGCGCAGACCTGGCGCCTGACCGGCATCGATGGCGAGCTGATCAAGCTCCTGGCGGAGATCTTCCGCTTCCGCATCATTCTGGAGGAGCCCTGCGACAAGTGCCTGTCGCGGGACATCAAGGACGGCTGCAGTGGCTGCTTCGACCAGATGATCAACAACGACTCCTCGATCCTGATCGGTGCCATGAGCGGATCCCACCAACATCGCTCGCAGTTCGCCGCCACAGCGTCCTACTACCAGAGCTCCCTGGTCTTTGTGATGCACATGGACACGCAACTGGGTGCGGTGGCCCAGCTGGCGGTGCCGTTCTCGGCCGGCGTGTGGCTCGCCCTGGTGGTCAGCGGTGTCCTGGTGGTGCTGGTCATTTGGACCTGGCTAAGGATCAGCACCGGTCATCCGGACGTGGCCGCTCACGCCCTGCAGGTACTCACCACCCTGATGGGCAATCCGCTGGTGGCCCGGAGTCTGCCAACAAACGGCAGGATGCGTGTCTTCTACGCCGCTTGGCTGCTCCTCGTCCTCGTCCTGCGAGTCGTGTACCAGGGCAAGCTGTACGACTCCTTTCGCCTGCCCTACACCCAGCCCATGCCCGGACAAATATCGGAGCTGATAGCCGCCAACTATACGCTGATATCGCAGGAATACCTCGATTTCTATCCCCGCAACTTGACTGTGCTCACCCGGAATGGATCCAGGGTAGGTAGCAGCATATATAGCTTTCATTTTAGTAATAAGATATCACTCGCACCCAAGGACCGCTTCGATAACATTCAGGAGCACGGCCAGGATGGTCGGCTGACCACCACCTCGCTAATTGCCAGCATGTCGTACTACAACCTGATGCACTGGAGCACCAGTCGGCTGACCCACATCCGGGAGCACATCTTCCTGTACCAGCTGGTCATCTATTTGCGCCGGCACACGCTGCTCAAGTTCGCCTTCGACCGGAAGATCAAGCAGCTGCTCTCCGCGGGCATCATCGGGTACTTTGTCCGCGAGTTCGACAGCAGCCTGTTCCAGGACACCAACATAGAGCCGCACGAGGTGTCGCCCATTCCGCTGGAGATCTACTGCGGCCTGTACTATATCTCGGCCATCCTGCTCGGTGCCTCGGGCATAGCCTTCGTCCTGGAGTTGCTGAGTGTTCAGCGAGTCAACTGGTTAAGGCGCTACTTTGAGTGAGGAAATCGAATAGGTTTTTTATTAGTAAATGTTATCAATGTTCTCTTTTTTTTCTAATATAATAATAAATTAATTAAAAGTCAGTAGCCGCTCAAAATTTATAGAAGGTAACCTTACCTGCCCCGCCAGGATATCCCGAAATCTTTATTTCACAATCTGCGTCCTCGGTTCATCCATCTGACAGCCAAGTTGCGATACAGCCGCCGGCGGCGTTTTATGGGTTTTGTGGCATCCACAGGACAATGGAAGGACCTCGTTAGTTGGCGCAAAAAGAGCAGCAACAACGCAACAAAATCAGAGTGCAAGGAAAACAAAAAGGAAAGCCCAGGGGAAGGGTAGAACAAGACACGTCCGACACAGAACGAACTCATTAGCCTACATGGCCGCATTTTCCGCCTACACATGTGTGGAGATGTGCACAGGCTAGGCCAAGTTGTTAGGTTCAGTTGGGGTTTTTGTTTGTAGAAAGGTATTAGGAAAACACAAAGTGCAAAAGAAACAAATTTACACGGAATTTTGTATCTTTAAAATAACAAAGCATACTTTTAAACACGTTTTTAAAAGTTTGAAAACTCCTAAGGATTTCTGGAGTAGCCTAGTAAGTATAGAGTTCCTACATTAACCTCTTATTTTGTATTAAATATTAAATTTTATTCTTGAACTATTATCTTGACTGCAGCTGTATCCAAAGAAAGAAACAAACTGGAGAAAGGATGCAGAAGGGTCTAGAAGGGTCCCCAAATGGAAATGGGAACACAAATGCGCTCTGGCCCGTTGCAGCCGTGTTGTGTCCTCCTTGTTGCCACATATTTTGTTTGCTTAAATGCCGGAAGTGTTGCATGCCACAGCAGAAGGACAGAAGGGCAGAATTTTCCAAGGGGAAACCCTGGTGCCCCCAAAAACTGCTGCCACTAGCAAAGTATGGTCAGCATTTAGTTGCCAAAGTATGACAAGAGTAAGTAAGAGCCAAGGTCTAAGAGTATTTGCAATGAAAAGGGAAACAAAAAGTATTTGGTATATTTTAATATATATTTTTAATTATAAATTGAAAAGAATATAATAATCTTGTATATTTTAATAATAAAATAAAGATAAAATTAAGCAAATAATTCACAAAGTTCCTCAAACTACATCGACATTTTTATAATTTCTGTGTTTTTTTCAGCTTTAACCTAAATCCCTTTTGCTTTATTTTCAATGTCACAAACAGCATTTGGACACATATTAATTACTTTAAATCGCTTGCTTAGGTGTTGAGGGAAAAATCTAGATCCAGAGACCCCCAACTCCTACCGAGTTTTCCAGCCAATGGGCGGGCACTTCACCGAAGTCCCGAGGGGGAACAGACCTGGCCATGGCCCTTGGTCCCTGGTCCCTGCGATTCCGCCTGATAAGAACTGATAACAAAGGTAAACAAAGCGCCGCCAGATGATGCCCTGGTGCCCTCCATCCGTGGACTTTGGCGGGAAACGCTGTAATTCGTCAGATATTCCGCACCCGAGGGCGCATGCGTCTCAAAAGGCCACGATTCGGTGGCATTCGACACTCGAATTTCCATTCGTTTTTCCCCCAGCTCATCGGTTCCAGTATAAGAGCGGAAAAACCAGTGGCAGCACAACAGAAATATTGGGAAATTTATGCAAGATAAAGCTTTGTTGGCAGTCGGAGATCAGGATCGGCATAAATGTATGTCTAATGAAAGCCGAAAAAGTTAATTTTAGTCCAAGGTCTGGCTCGAGTTTAGATTGATCTTTGAGGGTGCACTGAAAAAAAAGATATTTTATAAGAATATCTTTAGTTTAATAAGAGTTTAAATTTATGTTTTAACTTCAGTTTAGAGGAGGAATGGTAAAAATGTTGCGGGAACTTGTTTTAATATCACAAAATTGATACAAAACATACATTTGTAAATTACTAATTATAAGCAATGAAAATGCTTAATGTTTTATAAATTATATTAAGAATATTTTCACTTTCCCAAATGCATATATAAAATTTCGAATAAATGGTAACGATTTTTCTCCAAGTTCCCATAACTTGGCCTTGCAGTTTTGGCCATAAAAGCGTCTCATTTGTCGTCTGCCAAGCACAGTTGGACTTAGGGTCTAGCAGAGCTAAGAGTTTTTCTTTAAATTTTCATTCTTCGAGATGCTGCCACAATCAATGACATTGATTTTGATCCTTTTGGTGGTCATTGTCTGTGGTTTGTCAGCGGAATTACCAGGAAATGCCTACTTGCCGCCGCCACCGCACCCCAAATCGTCATTCTCGATGGCCGCCGACGAATCCTTGCTGTCTGCTCTCAATAGATTTTTGATCTTCGATAACTCAGAGGACTTTCAGGACTCACAGAACTCATTCGCCCGATATGCCCCCGTCTTTGTGGACTATCCTGGCCTTCAGCAGCAGGAATATGCCTTGGACCTGCCCTTCAACTAGAACTAGACTCTAGTTCTCTGGCCAAAAAAGGAGTTGGTTTCTTAATGAGAAATAAATAAAGGATATTGCTAAAATCCACCTTTTGAGGAAAGCAAAGTGATCCGATCCTAGTTTCATTCTTTTTTCCTGTGATGCGTGTGCAACTTCGACTTGCTGCCGCATAACCGCAACTTAATCCCCGACCTGTCCTTAGCCGTATCAGAAACTTTTCCCACTGCATCCGCACCCCCAAAAAACGCCCTGGAGGACTGCCCAGGGTGTGTGTGTGTGTATGTGCGGTTTTAATCAAGTTTCGCCACTTAAGTTTGTGCTCAGGTGGAAAACACTCAAAAGCCGCCTGACCGAACAGAACTCTAGCCTCGGAGCCCGCTTGAACCCCTTCTCTTCCCAGCCCGACGAAGTTTGAAGAGCTTAGCGACGCGTTGTTGCTGTTGATTTCGTTGCCGAGTTTCAGTTTTTTTGTTTTTAATTTTTTTTTGTGTGTGTGCTTCACCTGTTACACATCTGTTGTTTGGCTTCCGGTGTGTGTGTGAGTGTGAGTGTCCCCCCGGCAACTAGCTGCAACTTCCGCTGGAACTTTAAAATCAATTAAGCTGAGTGCCAGCATGATTGGTCAAAATGATTGTGCATATGTCTTGGTCCCGTGGCACCATCAACTAATGCCATTTAAGCCATTTTTGGACACAAAGAGGATAATATTGCTTAGGGGAAAAGAGGGAGAGGCAGTTAATGAGGGTATCGGTTCCTTTGCAAATATATATTACTTACACCTTTTTAAAACATATATTTAAGTCTGTACTGAAAATATCGAATAGTACTTTAAAACTATATATTTGTACCACTAATTGTGCTATAAGTTTAACTATTAGCAACAATTTATCGATTTAAAATCGATTTTTGCTTATAGACTTTGATTCTTATTATCAAAGTGAGTGATTAGTGATTACAAAACCAATGATTGCATTAAAAGTTTATTGAATATTTGTATTATTATTTATTTTTAAACTTAGATGGTCACTTTTTTTTAGAACATTGATGTTTATCGATTTATAATCGATGTTTATAACACATTTACTAAGCAAATGATTTCCTTTTGAAGACAATTTTCTTTTTGAGACCCAGTTGGGCGTTATTTATTAGAATAGCTGTTCTCCACTAGCCAGGGCAGATCAATAGGCATATACTATATACATATATAGTACTGATAACGCCAATAAGTAAATAAATCATTTTATGAAAATCTTCCAAGCCGCAAAGCTAAATTACTTGCCTCAAGAATGAGTTCTGGATGTGCGTGTGTGTTTGTGTTGCTAAGCCAAAGTCAATTGTCAAATTGACACACACACACCGATATAACATATGCTAGTGTGTGTGTGTGTGTGGGTGGGTGGGAGGTAGGGTTTTGTTGTAAGCTTCATTATTTGCCAAGTAAAAGTAATGAGACTTTTGTTGCCTTGTTGGGTTGCACATGAGTGCGCCTTCTATGAATTCTTTGTGTTTACACAGACACACTCGCACGTTGGCAGAAAATAAGGTTCCACACAGACACACTCACACTCTGGCGGTGTATCTGTGAGAGTGTTGGCCTTTTGTGTATTGGACAAACAAAAGAGCAAAGCGTTGACAGCGGGAGAACGCACAGTGGGTTGCACAGTGGGCCTGAAAGGTTTTTACTCTTTAAAATTTCAAGAAATACCCTAGAGTTTATCCTAAGCCCTAATCTTTTTCTACATATGAAGACCAGCCCATTTTCTCTCAGTGCATTGAAGCAACAAAGCTCAACAACTGTTGGCAGGAAAGTAAACAAAGTAAAAGCATTTGGAAATGCAGGAAATGAGCGGGTTTGGACTGCAATTTCACTGGCTAAGTTGCCCGGGGCCAAATGGGAGGACCTACTCCTACCTCAACCCCCTTTTCCCACGTTTTTCGCGCAAAAGTAGGGGCCATAGGGAGTTAAAAGCGCTCTACTGGCTGCTGGCCAGCTTGCGATAAGAACCAGGAATGCTCTTCCTGGTCCTTGTCCTCGTCCACCCTAAAAGTGGCGCCCAAATGGGCCCCATATTACCGATAGAAAATAAATTAATTTTCATAATAATTGACCCACACTTGACTGTGCCCTAAAGCACCCCTCCTCTCCTCTCTCCTCTCTCCTCTCTCCTCTCTCCTCTCTCCTCTCCTTCTTTCCACTGAAACACCAACGTTCAGGAACCAATTCACTGCATTGCCCTGGGCCTTTCGCAAAAACCCCTTTTTCGGAACCGGGCGCCAATAATAATAACATTGTTAACACAACGTGCGCGTGTAATAAAATCGTTTATTGAATTGGCCATAAATTTTCGCAGCTACAACAGCCGCAAAAGGCGCACAAGTCAAAAAGTTGCAGTCCATTGGCAGCAAAGGGGTTAACGGGGAAGTCCCTGCTGCTGCTTCTGCTGCTGCTGCTGCCTTTTGTGCGAACGGTTAGAGAGGGTTTTAGGGAGCGCATCAGGCCAGAAGGCAAAAGGCAAAAGGCAGGATAATGGAGGAATATCAAGGGATATAAAGAGGAGAAGCGGGGGGAAACCTGTGTGGGAAAAGCCAAGCGGAAAACTCGATGGTTAATACTACGGGCCGGGTTGCCTGGGTGTTTATCTCTTTCCCAATGGGAAATATCGTTCACCTGTAAGCTGCAGCTACCTCAACTACTTACTCAAATGCTTCCAGCACTCTCACTTGAGTGTAATGAGCCAGCTTAAGTAATTAAATTTGCAGTCTGCCAACGCTTTCCACTGATTACCAAAGTGTTTTAGGCCACAATTAACTAAGGATATAATCAAGCAGAATACAAATAAAACAGCTCGGTTCTCTTGATCATTTTTCCATCCCCAGGTAAGGTTCTCCTGTGGCACAGGTTTCTTTCTTTAAGAGCAAAAGTTGAACTGAGATATGTAGTCTTATAAGTTTCCTGGCATACGGCTTCCATTAATATGCGCCAGCGTTTCAACAACCCAAAATAAATTGCATGTAGCGTCATTAATAAGCATAAAAGCGCCTCGAAAGAAGGTAGCAGGCGGAAAACGGGTGGATAAAAGGATGGAAAATAGCTGGGAAAGGGTGTAAAGAGGCCACAGCTTCTCCACTTGCCTGTCCTGTCTCGAGGATGCGAAAGACGCGCTTAAAATGTTTTCGATGCTGTTCAATAATTCGCCGCAAAAGGACAACAGAGTGCCTGCAAGGACGTAAATGAGGACGAGGACGAGAATGCGACAGCGACTAATGAGCTTGATAAACGAGCTGAGACGAGAGACAGAGTGAGAGAGATAAGACTTTCTTTTCCCCAAGCAGGACTCGTTTCTCTGCGTCACTTGTTTGCTTAAAAAATTGCCAGCGCTCAATGAAGTGATGTGTAAATAACGGTATTATATTTCAAAAGGCGCTCCAGCGAGTAAAAACCAGCTCACAGCTCTCATCTCTCAATCCAGCCAGTCCTGCAAGTCCCCATCCTCCGTGCTAATTATTGGATGAATATGCAACAGGAAGTGCAGACCAGGGCGGGGAGCCTGAGGGGGGGGGCCTTATCTATCTAAGTGGTACAAAGGACATTCCACACGAGGACTTGCCAATGGTGAATAATGAATGGGATCAGGCGAGGGCAACAATAGACTCTCCTTGCCGGTCCTTCTACTCCTCCTTCTGTTCCTACGCCTTCCTAAGTCACATTTTTCTGCTCCCTTTCTTTGGCTCATTGTGGGCTTTTCCTTAAGGCAGCCTATGACTGATGCACTGAGGAAAATCTTACATGTTTTTGAAGATTACTACTAGTACTATTTTTTTTTATAAATAACTACTATTTACTACTTTACTTTACCTTACTTAAACATCCTTAAAATATGTAGTTTTCTAAACTACTTTACACTTTCTTATTATTACTTACTTACTTATAACTGTACCTTTTTTCTGCCAGTGTATCCACGCTTCACTTTACTTTTAATATGTTAAACTGTGAGAGTTGACGACGCACAAAAGTGCGGCATGCCAAGCATGTGGACCCATTACCCACCCATTTCCCCGCCCATTCCCCCCAACTAATGTGGAGTTCATAAAAAATGTAAAGAAAAGCGGTCAGGGGCAGGAGCTGAGGCAGGAGCAGCAGCAGGAGCATAGGAATGTGCGCAGATAGGACACAAAGCAAATGCACAAACTGTGAAACTGTAGCCAAGCACTTTTTGATTTATGGAGAGCCAAGCGGGACTAGGTTAGACAGAGGCGGGGTCCTTTTCCATGAGAGCGCAGTTTGGTCGGAAGTGTAGACAATTTGTTAGAATTTATACAAAAAATGCAGGCATGGAAGCGGGGTAGCACTGGAGTGCCGGCGAATTGCGAGTGGGTAACAGTAGGACCTAGAATATATATATATATATATATATAATATTTAAGGCAAAAGGATCCGCTCCTTTTTCGGCCATATAAAACATGAGAGGCATTTCATTTTAAAGCAGCTCAAACAAAACAAATGCCTGGGCTTTTGTGTGGACTTGAAACTAATGATTTTCACTTACCACAGCAATGGAGTAGGAACTGGGGAAAAGCTAGGGGAAAAGCCAGGGAAAGCACAGACACACACACACACACATGGTACGGAATCTCTGCACAGATTTACATGACATTATGTCATTGTTGTTGCTGTCTGTTTTTATGACGTCAATTATGTTTATGAGTGTCTAAACAAAAAGTCCTCGACAAAGCCTTCAGCATTCCCGTTGTCCTTGTTATGCCTGGGAGGATGGACGGAGGGTCCTGCGACTGTAGTTTGAGTTTAAGTGAATTTATTACCATGAGCAAAATTTATTTAAGCAGTCAAATGCACGTGAAGTGCATCTCAAGAAAGCTGTCACACTGTCTGCCTGCCCCAGCCCCTGCCCCTGCCCCTGCCCCTGCCCCAGTTGTGACGTCAAAGGAGCAGGATATGTGTAGCAAGATGCTGCCACTGCTGCTGATTTTTTTTTCGGGCATTAGGGGTT